GGTGTTGGACCATTGTTCTATTTCAGATACCTTTATACATTGACTTCTGTGTTAATTATTTTATTTATATATTTAAAGCAGACCTATAAAGTTGGTGCTGGTATTCACAATTTATATTAGAAGAGACTGAAGTAAAGTATAGAGAGGTTAAGTGATTTGTCTGTGCTTCCTGAACTGGCTATGCAAAGGCTAGGTTCTTGTTTCCTGTATTGTTGTGATAGTCCCAAGAAGCAGTGCTTTAAGTGGTTAAGAACCTAAGGAAAGCGGTGTAGACAGGTAGGCTTGTAATCCAGCTAGCTACTCAGGAGGCTGAGGGAGCAAGATCGCAAGTTGAAAGGCTGCCTGACAGTAGAGTGAGACGCTTTTTCAGATGAAAAAGAAAAAGAGGGCTGGAGATGTAGCTCACTGGGACTGTGCTTACTTCCCAGGACCACAAAATCTCAGTAATAATATCCAGTAGTAGAAAAGCAAAAACGTGCCCCTTATGTTTGAAATGAGTGTCCCTATCATCCTACTTTTTGGATCCTTATAAAGGACATTCTGAGAAAGCAGTGGTTCTCAACTTTCCCAATGTGTGATCCTTTAATACAGTTTCTCATGTTGTGGTGATCCCTAACTATAAAAATTATTTTTGTTGCCACTTCATAACTGTAATTTTTCTACTGTTATGAATTGTAATGTAAATATTTGTATTTTCCGACAGGTTTAGAACCACTGTTATATAACATTATAGCCTTACAGAAGCAACTTAGTGGGAAAAGAGTTATGAAAGCGCTATTTTGGCTCTTTTTTTTTTTGGACAGGGTTTCAGTGTGTAGCCCTGGCTGTCCTAGAACTCACTTTGTAGACTTGCTTGGCCTCAAATTCACAGAGATCCATTTGCTGCTGCTACCCCGAGTGCTAGGATCAAAGGTGTGAGTATAGTCTTTCATGGAAGGGAACAGTGGTGTTGGGAGCAGTTTGGACTGTGGCAGTGGCAGTGTGAGGTAGTTGGTTATGTGCCATTGATACTCAGGAAACAGAGCTTACCCATTATCAAGTCCTGCCCTCCAGGTCTCCTTTGGTCCTGCTACTGCACAGCTTCCTCAAACAGCTTCACCAGCTGGGAAATGTGTTCAGCCGAATGAGCCTGCAGTGGACGTTACATTTGCATATAGCAACACTGTGTCAGAAACAGTACAAAGGAGACCAGAGAGTTTTGTCTGGAGAGCAGCACTGTGCATGGTACTGAACCTGGGTACTGAACCTCAAATTGTACTTACATGGTACTGAACCTGGGTCCTCTGTGAGACCATCAGGTTCTCTTAATGGTTGAACCATTTCTCCAGACTGTGTTTTTTGTCTTGAGATTGCATCTCTCTATGTAACCCTAGCTGGCCTGGAACCTACTGTGCAGAAGAGGTAGACCTAATAGTTTGATGCACACTGCGCAGGCACCCTTCCAGTAGACTATATTCCTGGCCCTTTTCAAAAAAAAAAAAAAAATACACAAGTTCTCACTAGGTTGCCTAGGTTGTCCTACAACTTGTAGTCTTCCTGCCTCAGCCTCCCAGATTTACAGTTCTGAGCCACTGCTTGGCTAGATGTGGGTTAGTTTTTGTTTGTTTGTTTTGATACCCTTTGTAAAAGACTCCCTTTGGGGGGCTTTATTATTGTTGAAGTTAATAATGTTGATTCTTGAAAACAAGAAAAAATTATTGACACAAGTGGACAGACCTGAGTAGACAGAAGAAAACTGTACTCTGCTGCTGCAGGAATTCTTTGTAGTTGGTTTGCAGAACTTGTGACTTCTCTGAGCATTCTGTAAATAATTTACACCCTGATGGCACTGCACAACCACAGTAATGGCACCTCTGGCTCCGGATGATATAAGCACTTTAATAATTCATTGCTTATTGCAGCTGCTTCCCTGTAGCATGAGTGAGAGGGGAGAGACCTTTACATATCAGTTCGTCCATTATTACTCATATTTGTAGTGTTAGAAAATGCCAGAAAGGCTATTGATTGTTAAATACATTTTGGAGATAGTTGAAGGGAATAGTTGGGGCTTTCATTTTTTAATAATAGCAGTGTCTGTGATGCCTTACTAAACCCCATTTCTTCCTGGTAGATGGTGATGATGAAGGTGATTATTATTATTATTCCTGGTAGATGATGATGATGTGGAGGAGGAATATGTATATGGTATGCATATGCATTTTGCATATGTATGGGCATATATGTCTGTGCAGAAGTGGGTGCACATGTGTGCAGATGAGTGAAGGAGGTTCAAGGTTGGTGTTGGGAGTCTTCCTTTGAGCAGGGGTCCCTCAATTGAACCCAGAGCTCATTGAATTTGTTACTCTACCTATTCAGGTTGGTCTTGGGATCTTGTCACTGCCTTGTAAGTGCCTGATTACAAGTGGGCTTTCAGGACCATGTGGCAGTTATGTGGGTATAAGGGATCCAAACTCTGGTCTTGACGATTGCATGACAAGCATCTTTTATCCTAAGACTTCTCCTGTGGGTGGAACTCAGTGTTAATAGAGAGTCCTTAACCAATTAATTTCTTTTCTTCTGGTTTTTCTTGATGTGTTTTCTCTGTGTACCACTGTCTGTCCTGGAACTTGTGCTATAGACCAGGTTGGCCTTGAACTCAAGAGATCCACCCGCCTCTGCCTCTGGCATACACCTCCACTGCCCTGCCCAAACAACTTCTTTTAAATAAAATACTTTAAAAGATAGTTTTTGTCAGAATTATTACTTAAAAAACAATAGCAATGCTTAGTTTTGTCCCCATGTAAATTAAACTCTTAAATGAAAGTGTCTTAAGATTTACTAATGAGCAGGGATGAATCTAGCTGAGAGCAAATTGTTTGGCTGTGTCACCCAAACCTGCATGCACTTGCCAACTGCCTGTGGCAGCACAGGGAGACAGATTGATCTGTAGTGTTTCTCCAGCATGCCCCTATTGCTAGCCGTATTGTAACATGCAGTAGGTCTCTTGGGCAAACAGCTTGTGTGGGCTAGGTTCTACTTGAGCATTGTAAAGACGACAGGAGTCATCCAGGTGAATTTTTTAAGATTGTTTAAACTCATGATGAACTTAAGTGAAAATTTCTATTCTAATAAACTACTTTCTAGCGATGGATGAAAGTTTGAATAAATAGCTTCTCTACTTTTAGTTTTGTGTGACTTTGGATTAGCAAGTTCTTAGTTTGTATGCTTGTTTTATGTATAAGCATAGTGAGGAATATTTGCCTTGCAGTTATGTGCTAATTTATCTGGTAGGACACTGGAACTGTCATCATCATCAACATAATTTGGAAATTTATTGCCTTCTCCAGATGCTAGATAGCTCTTTTTAGGAAGACCAGATTCCTTGACTGGGTCTTGCTATGAGCACAGGTTAGCCTTACACCATCCTTCAGTGTTAGCCTTTATGTATCACCTCTGCATACTCAGCTCAGTCCGAGTTATAGAAACGCTCATTTTGACTTGTGAAATCTACCTTCAGCTTTGTTTACAGCTGGCTGGTGGTGACAGCACATGCCTTTAAAAGTCAGGTGGATCTCTGTGTCTCACTGTGTAGCCTTAGCTGACCTGGAACTCACAGAAATCTGCCTAATTCTGTCTTCCAAGTGCACCACCACATCCGGCTTGTGTTTTTTTTTTGGGGGGGGGGCGGGGTCGTTGGAGACAGGGTTTTTCTGTATAGTCCTGGCTGTTCTGAACTCACTCTGTAGACCAGGCTGGCCTTGAACTCAGAAATCCACCTGCCTCTGCTTCCCAAGTGCTGGGATTAAAGACATGTGCCACCACTGCCCAGCTAGCTTGTTTGTTTTTGACAGAAGACTTTGCTACATAGTCTCAGTTGGATTATAGTTTATGCCCTTCCCACCTCAGCTTTCCAAGTGCTGGGATTATAGGCATGGACCACCATGCCTATATGGCTTATGCATTTTATTTATTATTAAACCATGCTAATTTATTCTAAATTACTAAAAAAAACCCATTAAAAATAAAAAAGTATTAGATCGGTTGAAATTTGGACAGACTTACTCATAAGCATTTCTTTTGGTAATACTGAAATTCAGTTGTACTTTTTTTGAGACACGGTCTTGATATGTGGCCCTGGCTGGCCTAGAGTTTACAGGCATAGCTCAAATCTAGTGATCTTCCTGCCTCTGTTTTCTTAGTGCTGAGATTACAGACAGTTCACACCATGCCTGACTGAAAATTCCCATTTAGAGGCTGGTGAGATAGCTCAGAGGTTAAGAGCACACACTACTCTTGAAGAGAGGACTCCTGTAGAAGACAGCATTGAATACCTGTAACCTGCCCTTCGGGGGAATCTGATGCCTTTGCCCTCCATAGGCACCTGTACTCCCATGCACATACCCACATGTAAACATAATTGAAAATAAAAATAAATCTTTTGTTTGTTTGGTGGTTATTTATTTTTGAGACTGAATCTTACTGTGTAACTCTGGCTGGTCTGGAACTTGATTTGTGCCTCTGCTTTCTAAGTGCTGGGATTAAAGGTATGTACCACAACGCCTGGCTAAACTCTGGCCTCAGTGGGAGAGGATGCACCTAGTCCTATAGTGACTGGTTGGGGAGGGGTGATGGTGGTGATGATGGTGCGTGCGTGCGTGCGTGCGTGCGTGCGTCATCCAGGGGGGGGCTTTCCTTTTTCAGAAGAGAAAGGGAAGGTGGAACAGGGGGAGGACTTTTATGAGGGAGTACTGGAAGGAGAGAAAGGGCTGATACTGAATTGTAAAGTGAATAAATAAATTAATGAATTAAATAAAAAAGAAAAAAATTACCTTTGTAGGATTCAGTATCCTGTTTTAGTTTTGTACTTGCTCCCTTCTCCTCTCTTCCTTGGGCACCCAAGAGGGTTGCCTAGGTCTTAGCCCCTTTACCACTGAGAGATGTCTTCCTAGACTCTGTTCTGTTTGATTTTCCACTGAGGTTTAGCTTCCAACACTAAGCTCAGTATGTCTGTCTTCTTTCAGGGATTTGAGCCATAACCGGTTGTCTAACTGGAACATCAGCTTGGAATCACAAACATTACGAGAAGTGTAAGTTATTTTTATTCATTCATTATTAAAGTCTTTGAAGTAACCTAATTATGAATTTGAATATTTTTGGTGTGTATTTGTGTGTCTGTGTATGTACCTGTGCACTGTACATGCTTGTGGAGTCCAGAGATATACATTTAGTGTCTTTCTGAGTTGCTTGTCTGCCTTATTTATTTAAAATAATGCTTTTATTTATCTTTTGTGAATTTCATATATTTTGATCATATTCTTTCCCTTCTTCCAACTTCTCCCAGTTCCTCAAATACTTCCGTAAACTGCCAACTTCATGTTCTCTTTCTTTTTTGTTTTTTTTGAAAGAGGGTTTCACTGTGTAGCCCTTGCTGGACAGGAACTCACTTTGTGGATCAGGATGGCCTTGAACAGAAACGTACTTGCCTCTGCCACCAAGCCTGGCATTCTTTCTAACTCTTAAAAAGCAAAAACTAGGGGCTGGAGAGATGATGGCTCAGCAGTTACAAGCACTGACCGTTCTTCCAAAGGACCTGGGTTCAAGTTGCAGCACCCGTATGGCAGCTCATAGTTGTCTCCAAGATCTGACATTTTCACACAGATATACAGGCAGGCAAAACACCAGTGCATATAAAATAAAATTAGATAACTAAGAAAAGAACAAAAACTAAACAAACAAAGTGTCTAATTTGTTCTGGCTAGTTCTTTCTGAGCATGGAGCTTTCCCTGGAGTATAGTTGATAGACTCAGTATCACTCCATTGGAGGAAACAGATTTCCTCTCCTAGCCATTACCAATTGTAAATAGTTTTTTGTCTTGGGGTGGGACTTTGTGCTCCCTTCCCCTTGGGGTTCTGTCTGGCTTGAGCTTGTGCAGGTCTTGTGCATGTTCTCATAGTCTCTGAGTTCATATGTGCATTGCCCTGTTGTGTCTAAGAAGACAGCTGTTGCCTTGAAGTTATACATTGGGTGGTACCACCTTAACTCAAGCTTCAGGGGATCCGATGCCACTGGTTTCTGAAGGCACTGCATTTAAATGTACAACCTTCTTCTCCTCTTCACATAATTAGAAATAATAATAGTCTTAAAAATATCTAATTTCTTAGAATTATATATTTGTCTAACTTAGTCTGAGTCATAGGCCCTTTCAAATTTGAATATATTAAGATATTAGTTAAATCCAGAATTCAAGAGGTAGTTTCCATTGTTAAACTTTAAAACTGTTTTCTCTTTTGCTTAGGAAAATGAATTACAATGAGCTAACAGAAATACCATATTTTGGAGAACCAACACCTAATATTACTCTACTTTCACTGTAAGTATTGTAAGTGAAGATTTCAGATCTTTTATTTAATTATTTATTGTGTATATATATTGTACACACACACACACACACACCTGCTACCAATCTGCCTTCACTGTAACAATACATGCTGTTGTTTGTTTTTCGAGTACCTATACTATTGATCCTAATTATTTAGTATCTTTGTGGCCTTGGTTGGGTCACTGACAATAACTTCAATATAATCCTTGTTTTGTAGGGTCCATAATTTAATTCCAGAAATAAATGCAGAAGCATTCCAGCTTTACTCTGCTCTCGAGAGTTTAGACCTCAGTTCCAATATAATATCAGAAATCAAGACATCGTCATTTCCTCAAATGTCACTGAAATACCTGTAAGTAAAATAGAGACTTAGATTTACTCAATTAATTGAAAGAATAGCCGGGCAGTGGTGGTGCACGCCTTTAATCCCAGCACTTGGGAGGCAGAGGCAGACGGATTTCTGAGTTTGAGGCCAACCTGGTCTACAGAGTGAGTTCCAGGACAGCCAGGGCAACACAGAGAAACCCTGTCTCGAAAAACCAAAATAAATAAATAAATAAATAATTGAAAGAATAGTTTATTGAGTCAGCTGCAATAGGCTGGGCAGGAACTGGCGTACTGCCTGCCAGTGCATTTCTGTCATTCACTGGCCATCCCTCAAGTGTCTGTTGTTTATGGTAATTTGATGTATGTGTGTGTAAAACAAGCTTAGTTTTGGGCTTTTGTAGTTATTTATTTCCCTACTTCACCCTAAAAGAAAGAGTGCTCTGTTGCCAGAAAAAATTGCTAGACATTGAGAGCAAAGTTTGAGATTTAGTTTTACACTTATTTGTTTGTTCTCGTTCACGGGGTGATATAATATGCACATCCCACAGAGAATGTGCAGGTCAGAGGTCAGCTATGTGCAACGGGGTTTTTTTCTTCCATATTTTTCTTCTTTTCTTTTGTTTTTGGTTTTTCATGACGGTTTCTCTGTGAAACCCTGGCTGTCTGGAACTTCTGTAGACCATGCTAGCCTCAAACTCAAGAGACTCACCTACTTTTGCCCTTAATGGCATGTGACACACCTGGCCAGCCTTTTCTTCCATCTTTAGGTGTGTTTCAGGAATGAAATTCAGGTTGTTAAGCTTGTTTGGCAAGTGTTTTTACTTGCTAAGCCATCTTGTCAGCCCAAGATTTAGTTTGAGAAATTTTCATTTTGGTACTGGGAACCAAATGCAGGATCTTGTCATGCTCGGCAGTGGCTGTGTTGTGAGCCACACCTCCAGTCCCAATCAGCAATTTTGTGAAAAGTAAAGAGGACTGATGTGCTACTGTTTGTTGTCCAGTAGCTTACCCTGTGTGCTGCTGCTAATAGTTAGCTTGTGTGCTGGTTCCTAAAGTCTAGTCATCCCATATTGTAACATCCTAAGTGAAGTAGGAGCCATGCTTTTATCCTTCCTTGTTTTTCTTCTTTTTTTTCTCTTTTTCCTTTTCTTTTCTCCTTCCTTCCTCCCTCCCTCCCTCCCTCCCTCCCTCCCTCCCTCCCTTCTTTTTTTCTGTTTTGTTTTGAGACAAGGTTTCACTCTGTAGTCCTGGCTGGCCTGAAACTCACTAGATAGACTAGCCTGGCCTCAAATTCATAGAGATCAACCTGCCTCTATCTTCCAAGTGCTGGCATTAAATTTAACGATGTTCTCTACAAGGTCCTGCCTTCCCCTTGTTTTTCAATGCTAGGGTCCAAACCCAGGACCTTACAATATGCTAGGCAAGCACTCTATCACTAGCTCCAGGTCTAACATAATTAATTTTGTAGATGAAGAGAGAAAGCAATTAAATGATTTGTGAAATAAAATACCAGTTAAGAGGCTGAGGAGATTGTGCAGTGGCTACAAGTGCTCAGCTCTGCAAGCACAAGGACCTGAGTTCAAATCCCAAATACCCATATAAAAATTCAGCCATGTCTGTGTGTGTCTGTAACTCCAGAATTGGGAGTAATGAGAGGCAGATGCTGAAAGTTCAGTGGCCAGCCAGCCTAGTCAAAATGGTGAACTTATGGCTCTGTGAGTGACTGAGCTTTTAGTTCCATGAGAAACCCTGTCTCAAGGTGTATAACTCAGAGAATGATAGAGGTAGCTCTCCCTTTCCCTATCCTGCTCTGGCCTCTGCACCCCTACACACATTGTGCACACATACACATGCACGCAAAAAAAAATATCAGTTAAGAGTTTTTTGTTTTGGTTCATAAGCGTGATGATTGGGTATTTGTGCCTTTGCATCACATGTGCTTCCCATGAACCTTGTTACTTACAAATACAATTACAACTATGATTTTTGACTTGGGGTGAGTACTGGAAATAGCAGTTAAATGATTTGTCAGCATGTGTATAGTTAAGTGACAAGTTAAAGCTAGAGTTGGATTTGGGTAGTCACCACTGCTTCTTATGCTGTTATCTTGTCGTTTTAGAAATTTGAGTAATAATAGGATAAGCACCTTGGAGGCTGGCTGCTTTGACAACTTATCAGGTTCTTTATTAGTGGTAAAATTGAACCGGAACCGAATTAGCATGATTCCACCTAAAGTCTTCAAGCTGCCTCATCTCCAGTTCTTGTGAGTAACAAAACTGATGGATTATAAGAAGACAAGTCTTCTCTATAGCAGTTTTTCTTTTAAATTACAGTTAGAGTAACTCAGCCAATTTTCTTTACTAACTGTTAATCTTTTTGTTTAAGGGAACTGAAAAGAAACAGGATTAAAATTGTAGAAGGCCTTACCTTCCAAGGGCTTGATTCCTTACGCTCATTGAAAATGCAGCGGAATGGAATTAGCAAACTCAAAGATGGAGCATTTTTTGGCTTGAATAATATGGAAGAATTGTAAGTATTAGAATAGGGGATAGTTGTGGGGGTGGACTCTTCCTCTCCTCTAGATTGAACCTAAGGCCTTACACATGCCACATTCCTTGCTTTCATACAGACTTTAAAGTTTTTTAGTTTACTGGAATTTTTGTCATTCATAAGCTTTTTGATATAAAAATAAATTATATTTCATATTGTTTTGACTCAAAATTACCAGAATTTATCTGGATTGAGAATGCTGTACCACTTGGTCTGTTGGTTTTATAGATACTTAGTCACTTTAGAGCTTAAGTTTCTTGGGTCACTATAGTTTAGCAAAAGTATCTGTCAGTTTAAAGGAAATTTAAACCTGTACTTGGTATTGAATGCTTTGTTTGAGTTACTTCTCTCTATGCATACAGAGAACTGGAACATAACAACCTTACAGGAGTGAACAAGGGGTGGCTGTATGGCTTGCGAATGTTACAGCAACTGTATATGAGCCAGAATGCTATTGAAAAAATCAGCCCTGATGCATGGGAGTTCTGCCAGAGACTGTCTGAACTGTAAGTGTTGAGTGGTACTTCATGAGAGGGTGTGAGACTAGGCAGATTAGAGTCAGTTATTCTCATGGTAGTTGTGAGATCTGGCATCCTAAGTTCCTCAGTTTTTGTTAGAGAACTGTACTTAACATTTCAGTGGAGTAAAATTCATAGATTGGGCTAATACAATAATTCCTGACTTTTAGTGTTTCTTGTTTTTTAGGGATTTGTCCTATAACCAACTGACTCGCCTTGATGAATCTGCCTTTGTTGGTCTGAGCTTACTGGAGAGATTGAATTTAGGGGACAATAGAGTCACTCACATTGCTGACGGTGTATTTAGGTTTCTTTCCAATCTTCAGACATTGTAAGTTTTGTTCTGTTTGGTTTTTAATTTTTTTAGAATGAAATTAACCAAATGAGTGAAAATAATATGGAAATGGATATGTGCTAGTATTTTGTGCTTCTTTTGTTCTCTATCCCATAAATAAATTTTAGAGCAGTTTATTACTTTATTCTGAGTTAAGTGTCATAACAGCAAAGACTCCCTGTCAGTTGGCAGTGTCAGAATGCCATTATCTGCTTGTTCTCATGATGGATAGTGTCCCATAATTACTGGCTTTTGTCTGGAAGGCTGCAGTTATATGTAGTGATAGCAGTTCTGTTTAGTGTTAGTAGTTTGCTGCATGACCTTGATTTTTTTTTTTTTGTGATTTTTGTGATTTTTTTGAGTCTTTGGGGATAATGCTAGGGATTAAAACTTCAGCATACAAGGCCAGCACCTTACCACTGCCCAAAAGAAACTAACTCCTTTTTTGATTTTTTGTTTTTGGAGATAAGATCTCCATGTGTAGCTTAGATTGGACTTGAACTCTTAGTTCTGCCTTCAAGGTACAGGGATTATAGGCATTTACCACCATGCCTGGCTAAATTGTGTGTGTGTGTGTGTGTGTGTTGATTTCAGCATCCCATTTATGACTGAGTATTAAATAACTCCAATCTCCTCACCTTGACCAATTATGAGTCTCTGCAGTTAACTGCCGGCCCACTCCAAAAAGGAGCTTCTCGGATCAAAGCTGACAATTATAGTCTGTCTATATGGCTATAGTCATATAGTCATATAGACAAATCTATATTCATAAACAGTTATTTAGAGGTCGAATGTTGGGTACATTGTGTCCATTAGAAAAATAATAGCAGTTGCTTCTCCAGCTATGGACCATGTTTGTGGAGCAGGCCTCAAATCCAATCACAAAGTAGTTGGTAACAGACTCGTTGATGTTAATACCAGTGGGCACATCTTGCCTTATAAGTCAGTAGTGTTGCATACAGGATTCCCAGCTGTGTAAGACTATTGATAATAATATTCGTAGCACTATGAAACTAGCCAGCAGGAAGGAAGTTTCCAGCAGTTCTAGTTTGATTTCTCTGTCCTAAGACCAAAGCATGCGGTACCTTCATCAGTAGTGTCTTACCATCTAGATCTGGGAGCAGCCGACAGCAGTAGCAATTGCTACTTTTGAAGTCTTTCTGTCCAATAACTTGTAGAGCACTAGCACACGCTGGCACTGGGATTTTATTTAACAATGAATGGCTTCTGGTAGCAGCTTTATTATCTCATTCTTGGCACCTCCATTCAAATTCTGTTTTTTGTTTTTTTAATTTTATTTTTTAATTAGCTTACCAAGTATCAGGTTTTCTTAGGGATAAGGGCTTTTCCATATTTATAGCTTTAATTGACTTTCTTTCCTACCCTTTCCTCTTTCCCCATCTCCTCCTCTTCCCCCAACTCCCCTGCTTCCTTTCCCAGGTAAACTTTTCTACTTCTTGTATTCCCCTTTCTACTTTTGTATCACACAGGTTCTATCCCTCCCCACTAAAAATGTCTTCTGTATCTTCTCATGGGTTCCTTTCTCATAATTAAGATTTTTTAAAAAGATTTACTTATTTTATTTATATGAATACTCTGCAGCTGTCTTCAGACACACACTAGAAGAGTGCATTAGATCCCATTACAGATGGTTGTGAGCCACCATGTGATTGTTGGGAATTGAACTCAGTACCTCTGGAAGAGCAGTCAGTGCTCTTAACTGCTGAGCCATCTCTCCAGCCCAATTAAGATTCTTTGATGTTGTTGTTGGTTTGGTTTGGTTTGGTATGGTTGGTTTTTTGTTTTTTTGTATTTTTGTTTTTTTTAAGACAGGATTTCTCTGTGTAGCTTTGGTTGTTCTGGAACTTGCTCTTATAGACCAGGCTAGCCTTGAGTTCTGCCTGCCTTTTGTCTGCAAGTACATCTGCACACCAGAAGATGGCACCAGACAGTTGTGAGCTGCCATGTGGGTGCTGGGAATTAAACTCAGGACCTTTGGAAGAGCAGAGAGTGCTCTTAACCCATTTCTCCAGCCTTGATACTGTTGTTATCACATTCAAAATTAATAAATAGTTTCAGGAAGGTGATAGGCTCCAAACTTTGGTACCTAACTACCAGTAAGGAGACACACTAAGTCTGAGAAAATGCTCATATACTTAAGATACACAGTGTCTTTCTTAGTTACTGTTATACCTAGTTACTTAGTTCTAGTGCTGTGAACTAAGTGAAGAGACAAGATGACCAAGGCAACTCTTATAAAGGAAAACATTTAATTGGATGCTTGCTTGGAGTTTCAGAGGATTAGTCAGTGAACATCATGGCAGGCAACATGGCATCAGGCAGGCATGACAATGGAGCAGTAGCTGAAAGCTTATATCCTGATCCTTAGGGAGTAGAAAGAAAGATTGGGCCTGGTATGGGTTTTTTGAAACAAAGCCTACCCCCTCAGTGGCACACCTCTCCAACAAAGCCACACTCCCTCCAGCAAGGACACACCCAATTCTTCCAAAAAAGTTCTGCTAACTGGAGCTCAAACATTCAAACATAGGAGCCAGTCTCAATCAAACCACCACATTCGACCCCCTGGCCCCATAGTACTGGGAGCCTGCCTGATCTGGAATGGGTTGAAATGGGACACAGTGTTAGACACAGATCAAAAGTCTGATGATCTCCTGCCTTCTAACTATTTTTTACTATTTTGTGTGAAAAACTTAACTCTTTATTATTTATGCTTAAATAAATGCTAATATCTGGCGATTAACACATGCTGCATAGAAGTGGAGAAATAGGTAAAGAATTTATTGCTAGTGCTGCTTTTTTTTCTGGCCAGACAGGCAGGAGCCCTTCACTGGCCAGACTGATTAACTCTTTGTGAACCAGAGAGAAAGGAAAGGAAAAGAATTAAGATCCTTTACATAGACAAATATGCACAGATATACATATATTCATATCTCCATACTCTGGTTGGGCCTGACCATCTGTTTCAATCAACTCTACAAGTATTTATGTATGCTTACATTCATATACATATACCTATATATGTACATACATACATACATACATACATGCATTTGGATGGATGGATGGATGGATGGATGGATGGATGGATGGATGGGGCAGAGCTCCCAAGTTGCCACATCATCTTTATTTTTTACCTTTGACCTTTTTATATCTTCTTAGAAAAAAGTTCTTTAGAAAAATTACCTTGTAGATGCAATGTTACATAAAATGGGAGTTACAAAAGGATGTTGATGTTAAGTTCAAAGCAGTGTTTCATTCTATGTGCTCATTATAAGTTCATAGCAACAGTTTCACATGGCCTTGCCTTATCATAGTGCACACTTGTGGCTTCATCCTTGGACCCGAATATTTTTCCTTGAACACAAATTTGTCATAAGCCTATTTTTCTTTTTAGTGTAATTATGAAAGCTCATTGCATTTCTTGTTATATAGCCTTTACTTACTCTTATGAGGAGTACACACATTCTGTTCTCGAATCTAACTTTATTATATCTTTCTGGCAAAACAGCATTAATTCATGAAAGTTCATCTTAATGTTGATCTGCAGGAAATCTGTTCAATAGGGTAGGCTAATGCCCAGGGATTATTATGCTAATTTAATAATGATAGGAAAGGCATATCAGCTGCAGGAAGAAATCCTGAGGTGAATTCTTTTTGGGACCTTGCCTCATAGAGCTCACCCATCTGAGTCTATGTAAAGAGGTAGGCCACCTCCAGGAAGGCCACCTGCTAGACTTAGTCTTTCCTAGATGGCTCCTGACACCATAGGCTTGTAGCCACATCATAATGCAAAATGCATCAGTCCTCACAGTCCTTCACAGTCTCAACACTATTTAGAAGTTTGAAGTCTCTTCTGAGACTCAAGGCAGTCTTCTAACTGTAACCACTATAGAATTAAAAAGCAAATCACATATTTCCAACTTAAAGTATCATAGAATATATATTACTATTCCAAAAGAGAGAGAGAAGGGAGCATAGTGAGAAAATACTAGACCAAAGCAAGACCAAATCCCAAAAGGGTGAACTCCAAATTTTGTATCTTTATGCCCAGTGTCAAAGGGCTTGTTAGATGGCTTTTTATATCCCATTTCTTCCAGCTTTGTTGACTGACACACATCTTTCTCTTGGGCTGGTTCCACATCCTTTCTGTAGCTTTCTTTGACAGGTATCTCAAGTTTTTGCCATCTCCAGCGTCTTGGGATTTCCAGTGTAATCCAGGTTTCACTTTCACAGCTTCATGCAGTGGCCTCTTTGGGCCATCAGGCAGGGACTCTTCTGCCACATACCTCGTCTCTGTGGCTTTCTTTAACTGCTGAAGCAAATTCTACAATCCTTTTACTGTATCCTTGATCAAGACAGAACTGTGTGGCCAAAAGTGCCAAGTTGTATGCCTGCTTGGGTTGAAGCCTGCTCTCCCACCATGAATTACATTTGTACAAGCCTTGGCTTGTTGGTGGTTTCCTTTGCTATGTAATCTTTCCTGTAATGGGACTGTTCTTGGATCTGCCAGCAGTATACATAATGACATCGATAGAATCTTTGTAATATTTTAAAGCTTAGGCCTTTTAGCTAGGGCAGTATCCCAGGCAGCTATCTAAACTTAACCAGACCAACTAGCCTACCACCCTCTGCATGGCTAGCTCTGTACCTCTCTGCTTGCTGTCTATCTTGTTCCCTCCATGTCTGCCGGTGATTTCTTCTTCCAGAGACCCTCTCTCTGCAAGGAAGTTCAGCCTTCCATTTCGTGCTCAGCAGTTGCCTGTCAGTTCATTATTGAAGCCAATCAACAAGTAAGGAAGGTGAATGTTTAAAAAATATGAGACCTGTGATGGGCCATAGGAATAGCAATACCAAGATCTGCCAGTACTCAGCTCTCTGCTGGTTTGCTAATCAACAATGGAATATACAGAGACAACCTTTACCCAATGTACAAAAGGTTACCCAACGCTTTGCTTTTTACAAGTCTCAGGGTTATCTGGTGGGGACTTGCCCTGAGGTACCATGCCCTTTATTCCATTTAGCATCAGACCTTTTTTTTTAGAAATTTGTCATCTCTGTGAGCACAGGACTTGGCTCCAACATTCTATTGCCTGGTGCTCTTTTTACCCCAAACTATATTTTGCATTTCTTTTTGCCCTGCTGGCCCCTTTTCATTATAGATCTGTGCAACAATGAAAACCACATAACACAGTTAGTGCTAAGGTGCCTTGACATATCTGCCAATAGCATTAGTCTGGACCCCTTCAATTTAATCTCTGGCAGATTTTCTTGAACTAAGGGCAGAAAACAAGTACATTCTTTGCCAAAACAAAACATCACAAGAATGGGCTCTAATATTCTTCCCTTCTGAAGCCTTTTGAGCTGGGCCTCCACAGCCTACATTGCTTTCAGCACTACTGTCTTCTATGTCCCTACTAGGATGGCCCAATTAAGTCCTGCTTACACTATTCAACTGCTTTCTTAGTCCAAAGTCCCAAAGTTTTCCATATATCTCTAAACAGCAGTATGGTCAGGCCTGTCCCAGCAGTACCCTAGTCCCTGATATCAACTTTTCTCTAAGTTACACTTCTATGATGAAACACTACGAGCAAGGCAACTTATAAAAGGAAACATTTACTTGGGGGCTTGCTTATAGTTTCAGAGGGTTAGTCTGTAACCATCATGGCAGGAACTGTGTAGGCACACATAGGCAGGCATGGCACTGGAGTAGTAGTTGAGAACTTACATTGAACCACAAGATGGAGACAGAGAGAACAAGACTGGGCCTGTTGTAGGCTTTTGAAACCGGACAAATCTCCTCAAACAAAGCCATACCCCTTAATCCTTCCCCAAATAACTGAGAATCAGTTACTCAAACATATGTGTTCATGGGGGCCATTTTCTTCAAACCACAACACATACATGCATATAAAAACACACACACCTGGCCTTAAACTGAGAGAGATCTACCTACTTCTGCCACTAGAATGCCTAGGATTAAAGGTATGTGCTACCATACCCCACATAGCCCACTGCTTATTTTTTGCCTAATTAATTAATTAATTAATTAATTAATGTCTCGTGACAAGGTCCTGGTTTGTTACTCAGGCTGGCTTTGAACTCTCCATCTTCCTGTCTTAGTTTCTTGAGTCCTGGGATTATAGGTATGAGCCACCATGCCTCTCTTAGTGAATAATTTGGAGGAGGGGGAATGTCCTGAAGAATTGTTAGTAAAATAAAATGAGCTATATTAGCATTTTACTTGAAGGCTAAGCAAAAAGAAACCTCTCTTGGCATCCATACTTTATATAATTCTATAAATCAGAAAGTGTGTGCCTTAGTTTAATATGCAATAGCTTTAGGAAGTAAAAATGATTAAGTACTTTTAATATAACTGGTATTTCATCAGCACATGATATACACAAGTGTACTTTCTCTAAGAATGGGATAGTTTTTAAAGAAAACATAATGAACACTCTAGCATGTAGTCATACCATTTTTTGCTTCCCAAAGGGAATGTTGGATTGCTCTTGAGTTGTGAAGTTCTGTGTTGGTATTTCTCTTTGAGCTATTAAGTTTAAGAGCCCAGAGGGAATCTTGAGCACTCAGGAATCTCATGACTCTAAAATTACATTTGAAAGCTGTATCTATCACCTTTATCTTGAAACCTTCCTTTTTATAGGATCCTGCCTACAATTTTTAATAGGTTAGTGCAATTAGATAAGGCTAACTAAGAAGATTAATAATCTTAGCAGGTTGCTTAGTTTGCTTATCTATATTTATTCATCTATCCATTTATCCATCTGTGTATTTTTGAGACAGGGTCTCTCTATGAAGTTCTGACTGTCTTGGAACTCACTATGTAGATCAGGCTGCTTTGAACTCACAGAATTCAAAGCCTACTTCTGCCTCTGCCTCCAGCAGTTGAGCTGGAACTAAAGATGTGTATTACCATGCCCTGCTGGTTAGTTAATTTATTAATTTTTCTATGTTTATCACAAATACTCCTTTAAAAAGCAGGACTGAGTCTTCATCATAGATGACTGTCAACATAAGGATTGAAATAACATGTGTGTTCCTTTATGTTGCTGTATCAGGATGCTGCCTAGTGGTGTGGTATCATATTGACTAACAATCTTTTTCTCCCTGACACTTACAGAGATTTGAGAAATAATGAAATTTCATGGGCCATAGAAGATGCTAGTGAAGCCTTTTCTGGACTCAAAAGTCTCACTAAATTGTATGTATCTGTAATGTTTATATCTAATGTCTTTTCAAGGAACAGTTTTAAATGTTACTGCATAATGTTTATTTTATATAGCCAGAAAGTCTGAGCCTTCCTACCATCTCCTAAAAAGGAAAGTTTTGTTTGTCAAATAGATTGTTGTTTGGTACTTTTTATTTGTAAAATAGTCCTGTGGAAATTTGTTTTTTATTTCGTAGTTTCAGATTAGCATTGTGAGAGATGCGTCTCATCATGGCATGTCCATACATGTTTCATTATTCTGTTCACATTCATTCCCTTCTTACAGTCAGTCCTCTTCCCTCTTCCTCCCTGCCTTGGGTGGTTCCCTTTTTACATCCAGACAGTCCCTCTGCTTTCTGATGACATATGCACCATTCTCTATTAGATCTCTTGTTTCCATCTCAGGATCCCTTTCATGACCTATAAACACACACACATACACACACACAATCCTAAATCTACGTTCTGCATATAAAAGAAAATGTTTGGTTGTATCCATTTTCTTGTAAATGCTATAACTTAATTTTTCTTTATGGCTGCATAAAATTCTTTTGCATATATGCATTACATTTTCTTTATCTGTGTTTTAATGAACATCTAGGCTAGCCCTGTTTTTGGCTGTTGCATGTAGTGCAGCGTGGTGATGCAAGTGTCCCTGTGGCATATTTTAGAATCCTTCAGGCATATATCTACCAGGAGCATGGCTGGACCATATGGTAGTTCTATTTCCAGTTTTTGGAGGAACCTCCATACTGATTTCCATAGTGACTGTATAAGTTTAAATTCTCAATCAGTTGTGGTATTTAAATAAGTTACTGAGTAGAGTTTTCCATTCAAGTAAGAGCAATGCTCTGAGAAAATATAGGACTAGTAGTGTGTTTAATCATGGGAGCTATGTGGGGAATCAGTCTATTAATGGGGAAAATACTCTCCCATGAAACACTTGAGATCTCCTATGAGAAGGATTTCTCCAGAGATTCATACCTGTCTGAACATCTGTAATCTGACCAGCTTTATTAAAGAGAGCAATGGAGAACTGTGAGGAAATGAGGGAGAGGAAGTAGTATGATCAAATGTATAATGTGTGAAAATTAAAATAAAAATTTAAAGGAAAAAAAAGAGAAATGGAGAATTTAACCTCATTTAGCATAGGCAAGCTACCAGTATTTTAGTGGTTAGGATGATGTTCAGAAGACTTCCGTTGAGCTCTGAGATCTCAGTAGATGCTTTCGTGTTGTACTTTGTATTAATTACTAAGTTCATAACTTTCTTAAAAATGCTTGTTTTGCTTGTTTTCATTAAGCTAGTGTGTATAATTTTTCCCTTAGTTGTATCTCAGTAAAGCCATTAAAGGGGCTAGAGGATAGCTCAGAGGTTAAGAATGTGTTCTGCTCTTCCAGAGGACCTGAGTTTGGTTCTTAGCACCAATATTAGGAGGCTCATAAGCACTTATAACTTCCACTTCAGGGAATCTGATATTCTCTTCTGTCTTCTTCAGGCACAACACTGAACATGTACATACCTCTCCCCCAACATATACACACAGATGCATAACTGAAAAATAATTTTTAAAATGTGCATAATGCCACAATGCAAGCATTCAACACAATTATACCTTGTATAGGTAAATATTTAATGAATTTAATTTTATTTCAGAATCTTGCAAGGGAACCGGATTAAGTCAGTTACACAGAAAGCATTCATTGGCCTTGAATCCCTTGAGTATCTGTAAGTATTTCATATATATTTACTCACTGTATAATCTTTGTGCTGGGCATGGCAGAGCCTACCTTTAATCCCAGTCCTCAGGAGGCAGTGGCAGGCAAATCTTTGTGAGTTTGAAGACAGCCTGCTCTACATAGCAAGTTTAAGGCCAGCCAGGGTTGCATACTGAGACTGTATGTCCGCAGGTATTCATGAGCATTTAAGCATTTATATAACTTCACTACAGAAATGGTTACTGATGTTGCATTTCTCTTCATTTCAGAGATTTGAACAACAATGCTATAATGTCTATCCAAGAAAATGCTTTTTCTCAGACTCACTTAAAGGAACTGTAAGTAATTTTTTCTCTTATGTTAGTGCTCATTGTATATAAAGGACACCATTTGTGTACCTGATGCTCATGTAGACCAGAGGAGATGGTGAGATTCTCTGGAACTGGAGTTACGGATGATTGAATACTGCCGTGTGGGTGATGGGAACTAAATTGGCTTTTCGGGTAGAGCAGACAATGTTCTTAATCACTGGACCATTTCTCTAGCCCCTCATTGTCCATAGATAGAGAAGGTGACTCAGATGTTTCAGAAGCATGTGATGTGAGCAAGAAATAGAGCAGTGTTAACACTGAGTTGTTTCAATGGTCATGTCGTTTAAAGATAACCCAGCACTGGACAGTCAGGAGTGTGTGCTACCACATGTGTGCTGCCTGTGCTCACAAGTTGGAAACCTTAGCACCACTCCTGGGCTCCAGTGTGGATTTTACTTTCTAGACTGGTCAATACATGAGTCTCCAGTTCTTACTCCATGATGGGGTTAAGGTGCGTAACAGCTGTTTCTGTTCTTTACTTTGTGAAATTGACCTAGTATTTTGTGTTATTAATTTTAATGTGTTTAAACTACTAAGATGTTCAGAAAATTTAAATATTGCAGTAGAAAAAAGTTTTTTATACTAGTTTTCCCATATGATTTAAAAAATAAGTTTTAAAATATGTATGGGTGTTTTGACTACATGTATGTCTCTACCATGTACATGCCTGTTACCTCTGGAGGCCAGAAGAGGGTGTTAGATCTTCTGTAATGGGTGTTATAGACAGTTGTGAGCTGACATGTGGGTACTGGGAACTGAAAAAAAGAAGTGCCTTTTAACTGCTGAGCCATTTCTCCAGTACTTCCTATATAATTTTTAAAAATTGCCTTTAAAAATTATTTTATGTGTATGTGCCTTAGTGTATGTAAGTATACTACATGTATACATGTGTGAGTTCAAGGAGATCAGAAGAAGGCATCAGATCCTCTGGAACTAGAGTTACAGATGCTTGTGAGCTGCCTTGGTGGTGCTGGACAACAAGTTCAGGTCCTCTGTAAGAGTTCTTAACTGCTAAGCCGTCTCTCCAGACTCCTAAAATTAGTTTTATTAATTTAGAGAGTTTTCTGAGTGAAGGAAGTTAACCTGGGAATTCTTATTAATTTAAGCTGGTGTTGGAAAATCAGTTTACTTAAAATGTCTTAGCTAGAGTCTACTCAAAAGACAGCAGTAGAATCAGTTCATGACAAGACAGAGATAAAAATGAAGAGAAAGCTTTTAGAAACATTTACAATGTGATATTATGACATCTTTGTGTAGTTTTTAAAAGACTTAGTTTTGGGCCAGTGACATGGTTCAATTGACAATGGTACCTGCCATCAAGCTTCACAGTCTGACTCCTATAAGTTGTCTTCTGACCTCCACATAAGAGCATGGCACATAGCCAGGTGTAATGGTGCACACCTTTAATCCAAGTACTTGGGAGGCAGAGGAAGGCAGATCTCTGAATTCAAGCTCAGGCTGGTCTACATAATGAGTTCAAGATAGGCAGGATTGTATAGAAAGACCCTATCTCAAGAGAAATAAAAAGTATGACGTGTGTATGCCACTGCCACCCCCACCTCAGCATGTTTACACACATATATGGTAAATAAAAATCTAAACAAAGTTATCTTAAAGTACTGATTTATAGTAGGTTGGGAAATGTAAAAACTGGTTCTTACTATAGATGGAGATGTATTAGAAATGTGTTTTTGTGTTCAGACCCCTGCTCCATTTCTTGTAACTTGTCACAGTAGGCAAATTGCTTAGCTGGAGACCCATTGTTTCCTCTCAGAATGGGAGTAATGGGTCCCTAGGATCATATGGCAGTACCATGAAATAATTTGTTTACTTAACCGTTCTTTCATCCTCTATTGTGTACTGTATTGGATCGTGGTCTCTCTTCTCACATCGTATTATGTTAAGAAAAATTAATGAAAAATAATCATTAATTGCTTTTTGCATGTTACAGAAATTAAAGGGATCTTGTAAAACATTTGGATCTACTTCTAGGTATAGCTAATTTGTAAGGGTTCAATTTAACTGCAGACCAGTTTATCTTTTTTTCTATTAATATTATGTGAGGGTCAGCAAGAAAGTTTTAACTATTATGAGAACCTAGATCAATGTATAGTTTGGATAATAGGCAGTGTAGTTTCAATGTAGAGATTCACTAGGGAACCACAAGTACTTAAACAAACTTCAGGCTCCTGACTCTTCTAGGCCTAACTGTGGACCTTTTTTTTTTTTGGATAGGGTCTCGATATATAGACCAGGTTGACCTTGAACTTAGAGATATCCGCCTGTTGCTGCCTCCTAAGTGCTGAGTTTAGAGACATGTGCCACTACACTCTAGCCCATCTACTATTTTTTAACGTTAGTTTTATCTGAAACCTTTCTGAACCTAAAAGTTTAGCAAGGATCCTCCCATGCACAAATCTAAGTATCCATAGGTACCCTAGATAACTTACCACATTTTTCCTTCTGTAACATTCCCCAAGTGTCTGACCACTCTGGTCTGCCTTTAGCAAGCATCTTTCTAGGTTTTTTTTTTTTTAAGCTAGAACCCTCATCAGTTCTGAAGCTACTTGCTGATTCTTACCCCTCTTCCTCATTGGCTAAAAATTCCTGTTTGCTGTTGCTTGTAATTGGAGTTGAGCCCAGCTTGTTTTCCTCTGTTACAGAATTTCATTGCAGTGATCTCTGTGCCTGGGAGATGGTCTTGAATACACTCTGCCTTACCATGCTTTAGCAAGTATCATTGAATAGCTTTTCCTTTAACAGTTATGGTGTTGTGGCATGGATAGGATCAGATTCATCATTGGACCCCCGGGCCTTTCACCCAGGACTCCCAAATATACATCTTTGAAGCCTTTGTCTTCATTCCTGATTGATTGATCGGGGATCCAATGGTGAGTCAGACTGGTGAACCATTGCTCTGGACAAACATCCATTGGAGCTGGTAAGGAGAGATTTTGATTCTTGAGGTTCTGAGTACAGTTTCTGAGCTGGGGCAGAGTGCTACACTTGATACCTTCCTTGCCTGAGGTCTACCTGGACCTCTTTCCTGAGTAGGGGTTGTTTCCTGACTCCCTGGTGTATTCTTTGTCCTCTGTAGAATCTATCTTTTTTTTTTATTAGATTCTGTTTTTTCTCCAGGAACTTCTTTGCCCTCACTGGAAACCCTGGCAGTAACATGTTCTGCTAACTATATCCACTTGACTGTCTACTTCCTAATTATTGGAATTTTATTGTACTCTTTTGGGGAACTTATGGTCTCCCTGTACTGGTTCTTCTTAAGATCACTCCCTTCCGTCCCTTTGAGTCTTTTGATATGTCTCTGAAAATCCCTCTTCTGCATTTGTCTGTCCACTGCCATCAGTCCATGTCCTATTTTAGCTGCTCCCCTTTCTGGCTACCTATTTCCATTGGAGATTCTTGAGACTTAAAGACAAATAACAATTGTGTAAGTCTGAAAAACACTCAATGGAAGTGTTATTTTATCTATGCTGAGATGGACTTTGGCGATACCTAAACAGCTCCTATGTGTCTCTGTAACCTCCCTAAGATTGATTATATGCTATGGCAAGATAATTTTAAAAAATTTTAATTAGCATATATTGATTATACATGATCAAGGTTTCATTTTGACATTTTCTTGCATATATGTAATGTATTTTGATCATATTTATTCCCTATTCCCTTTATCCTCTTATCCCCTACTACTTCCACTAATCCTCTTCCCAAGTAGCCTCACTTCTGTTTTTATGTCTTTTTTGTTTGTTTGTTTATTTTTGTGACCCAGTGAATTTCTTAATTGTTTACAGAAGCATGGGCACCTTATCTGTGGCTATAGTACTGAAGAAAATGTCTCCATCTCCAGTAACCCTTAACAGTGCATAAATCCTCAGAGGGGCCCCCAAGCTGATAGTTCCCTCTACAAATATATATGTTCCACCTTATCCTTTAGGAATGTGTTCCTTGTGCTGAAACTGCATAGTACCAAACCTATACACGCTATAAAATTACCGCTGCAGAGTATGTCTCGTGCCCTGTTACTGCTTCTTCATTGCTTGTGGGTTGGAACTTTAATAAATTAAAGAAGAGTTACTTGAACCCAAGCCACTGTAACACTATAACACTTGATCTAATAATCAGTATGACCATTAAATCATTAATGGGTGATCAGCATATGCAGTGTGGGTGTACTAGGCAAAGGGATGATTTATATCCTGAATCGGATTGCATAAGGTTTTATCTCCTTAATCAAAACGGCACACAATTTGCAACTTAGGAATTGTTTACTTTTGTGCTTTTCCATGTAACATTTTATACATTATTGAACTCTGGTGATTGAAACTGTAGGAAACAAGCTGTGGATAAGGGAGATGTACCGAATTTGTAAATAAGTATCTTTCCCTCTTTGCTTTTTAGCAGCAATTTGGATAAAAATGTAAAGTATAGGAAAAACAACAGGTTTTTTTTTGGTTTTTGTTTTTTTGTTTTTGTTTTTTGTTTTTTGTTTTTTGTTTTTTGTTTTTTTTTACTTAAAACTGCCTTTGGGAGGCAGAGACAGGAAGATCTCTGAGTTTAAGGCCAACCTGATCTACATAGTGAGTTCCAGGCCAATCAGGGCTATAGAGAGACCTGTCTCAAAAAAAGTAAATAAATAAGTGAGTTTATGTTAGTATTTTACTATTTCAAGACTGAAATCTTAGACTGAAAGATGTAATTTTTGCTTGCATCTGTTTATATAGTAGCTTGTTTGTGTTAGGTATGAATGTTAAATATCTTTGTGCATTAAGAGGCCAGAATTGATATGAGGGTGTCTTCTGTTCTTCACCTTAGTTTTTGAGCTGGGGTTTCCCACTGATCTTGGAGTTCTGTTTTAGCTAACCTGGCTGGCCAGCATGCTCTTGGGGGGTCTCCCTGCCCCCCCCTCCCCCCCAGCTGGGGTTGCATACACATTTGGCTGTGCCTGCCGTTTACATGGATGCTGGAGATTCAGACTCAGACCCTCATACTTTCACAAGAAACCCTTTAGCCACCGAGCCCCCTGTAGCCCTGTGATATTTGTCTAGCTCTACATTAGTGGTTTTCAACCTTTGGGTTACAACCCCTTTGGCAAACTTGTAGCTCCAAAAATATTTACAATGCTATTCTTTTTCTTTTTCCCTTTCACCTTCCCTTCTCCCTCTCACTCTGACCCCGCTCGCTCTGGCCCAGTAGCAAAATTACAGCTATGAAGAAGCAACAAAAATAGTTTTATGGCTGGGGATCACCACAACATGAGGCACTGTGTTAAAGGGTCACAGTGTTAGGGAGGCTGAGAATCACTGCTCTAGGTGGTGTCGCCAAATTAATGTATACTTTTAAAAAACAAAGTTCTTTAAAAATTGTCTTAAGAAAAAAAAGAAAGATGGAAGGAAGGAGGGAAAGAAAGAAAGAAAGGAAGAAAGAAAAGAAGGAAGAAAAAGAAAAGAGCTAGGTGGTGGTAACAGCACTTGGGAGGCAGAGGCAGGTAGATTTCTGAGTTTAAGGCCAGCCTAGTCTACAGAGTGAGTTCCAGGACAGCCAGGGCTATACAGAGAAACCCTGTCTCAAAAAACCAAAAGAAAAACAAACAAACAAACAAACAAACAAACCCCCCCAAAAACCACCAAAAATCCCCCAAAGTTAATGCTGTTAGCTAATCCTAAAAGTGACAATGCTGTATTCAAGGAGAGATGAATATATTTTTGGTACGAAAGGTACAAAGATATTTATTTTTTAAGTGTTTTTATTTAAAATTATTCATTTGTGTTTGTCTTATTTATTTGTGTGTGTGTGTGTGTCTGTGTAGATCAGAGGCCAACTTGTGGGTATCAGTTCTCTCCTTTTTTTTTTTTTTTTTTTTTTTTTAGGTTTTTCGAGACAGAGTTTCTCTGTGTAGTCCTGGCTGTCCTGGAGCTCACTCTGTAGACCAGGCTGGCCTGGAACTCAGAAATCCACCTGCCTCTGCCTCCCAAGTGCTGGGATTAAAGGCGTGTGCCACCACTGCCCTGCTGAAAAATATTTTTTAATTTATATGTAACTCTTTCATGAACCTCAAAACACTTATACATGAGAAAGAATACCAAAAGCCATAGAAATTTTAATAAATACCAATTTAAAAATATTTTAAGAGCTTGTTAGATGATGATTTAAGAGGTAGAAGCACTTTCTAAGCTTCCAGCCTGATGACCCGAATTGGATTCCTTGTCAGTGGAAGGAGAGAACCTCTACATATGCACTGTGGCAAGACCTCCTCCCCACCAAGTTAAAAAGAGTATTTCAGTCAAAGAGTAAGTTGTAGTGTTCCCCAAATCATTTGCTTTCTCTGCTTTTATATTTAGGGGGTCATGGTGAAAAAAACCACTGATTGAATCTTCAAAGGGATCTGTTTTATAGACCACATTTTTTTTTTTAAAAAAGTATCTTTTGCTCTGAGTTGAAGTATACATTACTAGAGGGCTGAAGTGCATTCAGTTTTGATGAAATACTTTGAAAGTAAAATACACTTCCCACAGTAAAAAGCTCTTTCAGTGCTCCAAAATCTGTGATTTTGCTCCCAATGTTTCAAAATTTTAAACTTCAGGAGTATAAAGAATTGTACAGTGAATATCTACAAACTTTCCACCTGGATGTACCAGTTATTAATCTTTGACAGACTTATCAAATTCCCCTGTTCCTGTTCTCACTCTGACCTTTGCATTCTGTACACATATATAGTATATATTATATATGTATGTGTATGTGTGTGTGTGTGTATGTGTGTGTACACACACATACACACACACACACAGGTCTTTTTTAGTTCTCAAACCATTTAAAAGTTGTAGAGAGATCCAGAGAGGTGAAGACTTAGCTTAGCAGTTAAAAGCAGTTGTTGGTTTTGCAGAGGACTCGGGTTCAGTTCCCAGTGCCTACATGGTGGCTCATAACCATCTGTTACAGCTTGGTGTATATTTTCTAAAAACAGGAACATTTTTTACATAGCTATATTACCGTTTTCATCCTCAATGAAATTAACATTTATAAAATTACATAGTAGATTGCCCATCTTCATGTTTTCTCAATATCACAAATATCACCCTGACAGGAGATGCAGCTCAGTTGGTACAATTGCTTCTTTAGGATGACTGAGAGATTCAGTACCCAGGACCTTGTTAAGTCAGATGTGGTGTTGGCACCCATAATACCAGTATTTGGGAGATGGAAGCAGAAGGACTAGAAATTTAAGATTATTTTTTACTACACACACAGTAAGCTTAAAGCTATTCTGGAATATATGAGACCCTATCTCCAACAAACAAACTAAATATGCATATGTATGTGCACACACACACACACACACACGCACACACGCACACATATCTCCCTGTTTATATACCACTCTCCAACCCCTGCCAATCAAGAATCATGTTTGTCAGTGGATGTCATGAGATATCTGGGATTGCAAGTTTGAGGCCAGACTGGGTAGTATAGTAACTGTCTCAACAGTCGCCCCACAACAAATACACGTGCATGCATGCATTTCATTCCATTGCAATGGCTCTTTACTTGTCTTTAATTTAAAATAATTCTCTTGTCCTTCAGTCTGTCTGATTTTTTTTTATAATGCTGACTTTATTAAGGCTAATGATCTGTTTTATTATAATTAGATGAACATTTTTTGATAAGTAAATGCATATATGTGTAGCAGGATTTTCCTGCAGAAACTTGAATGAAGCTAAAATGAAAGGTTCTTTTCCTTGTTTTCCTTCTATAGTGTTCTGAACACAAGCAGTTTGCTCTGCGATTGTCATCTGAAATGGTTACTTCAGTGGCTGGTGGATAACAACTTTCATCATTCTGTGAATGTAAGCTGCGCACATCCTGAGTGGTTAGCAGGGCAAAGCATCTTGAATGTGGACCTAAAAGACTTTGTCTGTGGTTTGTATTTCTGTTTTAAATTTTAAAAATTTCTCTTAACTATTTTAACAACAAACTAAAGGGGATGAAATACCATCACCATCAACAAAAACACCCACATGGCTCTGACTAGCATGTCATAAGGCCTTGTGCTGCTCTCAAGTCCTGTCTCAGGCTTACTTTATACAGGCCACATTTTGTGTTCTTTGACTTAGTGTTTCATAAAGGTGTTTTGTCACTTTTTGTTGTTGTTGTTGTTGTTGTTGTTGTTGTTCTTGTTTGTTTGTCTTAGCACAAGGACTTTCTCAATGCTGCCTTCTCTTTGTCTTTGAGTGATCATCTTTAGTGGCAATGTGAATGTCAGCTTTAAGAGGAGTTATTAAATTTAGGATACATAGCAGTAAGACTTCTAAATCAATGGTTTGTTTTTTTTTAATGTGAATACTTAGTAGATTCTGAAAACCACCAAGAAAAATCTTGAAACGTCATTAGTTTATGCTATAATCGTAAGTGTATACTAGTATATGTTTATAATCACCAATTTAATGTTTTGGATGCAGTTTCTTGGAAAAAGGACAGACAACTTGAAATGATCAGTTCTATCTTTCGATCATGAGGGTTCCAGAGAGCACACTCATGGCATTAGACTTCAAGACAAATTCTTTTACTATATCAAGCCATTTCATTGACTTTGATGGTCTCTCTCTCTCTCTCTCTCTCTCTCTCTCCCTCCCTCCCTCCCTCCCTCCCTCCCTCCCTCCCTCTCTCCCTCTCTCCCTCTCTCCCTCTCTCCCTCTCTCCCTCTCTCCCTCTCTCCTCCCCCTCTTTCTTTCAGTCTACTTTTATTTTGTGTGTAGGTGTTTGGCCTGCATGCATGTCTATGTAATGTGTTTGTGCAGTGCCCAAGAAGGCCAGAAGAAGGTGTCAGGTCCTCTGAAACTGGAGTTGCAAAAGATCGTTAGTTCTGGTGTGCTGGAAACTGAACCTGGGTCCTTTGCAAGAACATCCAGTGCTCTTAACTGCTCTTGAATCCCTTTATACAATTTCTTAAGACTTAAACTGGCCAAGCAGTGGTGGCACAAGCCTTTAATCTCAGTACTTGGGAGGCAAAGGCAGGCGGATCTCTGAGTTTCAGGCCAGCTTGTTCTACAAAGTAAGTTATAGGACAGCCAAGGCTACAAAGAGAAACCCTGTTCCCAAAAGCAAAACAAAACAAAACAAAACAAAACAAAACCCCAAAAACCAAACCAACCAAACAAAAAGACTCAAAGTGGTAGCATATCTTTGAGACAGTAAAAATAGCCATAGACAGTATGTCCTAAATATAACCCTTTGTTGTTGTTGTTGTTTTGTTTGTCTTTCTTTATTTCTTCGAGACAGGGTATGTAGCCTTGGCTGTCCTAGACTTTCTCTGAAGACTAGACTGGCCTCAAACTCATAGGCCTGTCTCTGCCTCTGCCTCCTGAGTACCAGGATTAAAGTTATGCACCACCATTGCCCAGACTGAATATAACATTTTTCTTTTCCTTCCTTCCTTCCTTCCTTCCTTCCTTCCTTCCTTCC